GTACTCAATTTTACCATTCGGTGGCATGGAAAGTACACCAAAAGAGGATTCATGGCTGCGACATGGCAGTCTCACCGGAGATGGCCAGCCATGGGGGAAGAATCGGTATTTTGACGACATGAAGAACGACCATTAGAACAACACATCAAGGTCAAAATGATAGAAGCCCGCACGTATAGTTGAGCAAGAAACTATATATATATATTATATATATATTTGACAGAGTTTATTGTTTTTGGAAACTGATTCGCTGTTTGGAATGCATGTCAAGTCTAAGTAAGACTACCCTAATGAAGTAAGGTGGAAAAATAATTAGATGCAAACATGACCAACTCTGCGATTGCTTCAGCTTTGGTGGCACATGTTTGAAACCAATCAATGTCCTTATTTCAGGTGATGTTCAGTGTTGTTGTTTACATCATCATGACATGATGTGACATGGATTTGGGTAGACCAACTAGGAATCTGATCACTTCTGGCAACCAAGGGTGGAGAAAAAAAGATCGCGCAGCCGATGAATGTCCATCAGTCCATTGCGCAAGTGTATTTAGTGTTTTTGGGGCTAGTGGCCTAGCCCTACATTGCCCTACCATGCATCATCATGTATCTTAGAACAACTTAAAGTGATATTTTGGAAATTTTTGGAATACCTGATTCTCATTGATTCTCCAAACATTGATGTAAAACTCGGAACTTGACTCAATCTCAGTCCCAGGTGGCGAGCTGGTCGCGGTGGTGGGGGGTGTCGGCTCGGGCAAGAGCGCCTTGCTACAGGCCGAAGCCCGTACTGTTGGAGGATCATCCCACGTAGTAAGTGGTTAATAACCATTGGTTAGTAAATCCTGTAAGATGTAGGTGGGTTATTCCATGTATAACTGGGTTGTAACTCCAGTTACTCACCAGTTACTAAGTGGGATGATCCTTCATTCAAGTACTTTTTTTAAGGGGTTAGCGCATTGCGGGGGCACCACTACACTTTGGTGGCATGGCACAATTTTTTGTGCATTGCTTCAAGTGGCTACGTTTTATGCCCATTTCGTATAGGGAAAGATGGGATGCCCCATTTGAATCCAACGGTTGGTGTTTGACCTTTGGGATCCACTTGGACCAATGGCATGCAATGGCAGTATGCCACCAGTCCCACAAGTCTCCTGCTATATATGCTTCCCTACGCTTCAGCTGAAAGAGTTGTTAGCTCAAACTTTGCCGTCTCTGTGCAAGCACGATGCCCAAAGCATCGGCATCAGTAAAGTGAAAAGCCCAGTCGAAAGGGGAAGGGTGCCAGAAGCCCAAAAAGGCGATCAAACCCACTTCGAGCTCAAAGCCAGCTCTGCCGAAAGACCTTTGGCTCATAAGGTTCGAAGAATCTGGGGGTGCGCGGGCATAGGTGACACAGCCATGGATGACTATCTTTATGGAGATGATTGGCAGAACGGACTTGAGGGCCTTGGAAGAGAGGACGAAGACAACTATTGCGAAACTAGAGATTTCAGGAAATCAGTCAGAGACTCTGGTTTGATTTTTTCATTGGAGTCCGGTGTTAATTCGCAAATGTTTTACCAAGTCTCGCTGTACAAAATAAAGGTGCAGGATCGAAAGTTTTTGGCAGTCATTTGTGCTGCCTCATTATAGCGCGGAAACCTCCAGTGAGTCTAAGCTCTCGGCAAATTGTGCCCACCTCTTGGCTAAGCGCAGATGGCTGCAGAAATCTTGACAACTTCGAGTTGGAGAATCTTGTCAGGAAAAATGCGCGTCTCGTGCGCGTAGCCGCCGTTGTCCTGCTGAGGTCTCAAGTGTCCATTGTTTATCTCTTGTTGTGCTTTCGAAGAGATGTCAAACCACACTTAAGTAGCCCCCTGACATCCCCTGCCGACTTTGACCATTCTCCATCCTTCTTCAGCATCATGCTGACATGTTCAGGCCATTTTGGGTGAGCTCCAGCCCGATGAAAGCGAGGAAAAGGCCTTGATCAGTTGGCAACTCAGGGTTTTCCATGAACTGCTCCAAGCCGTTTGACGCAGCATGGGATAATTGAAAGGTTGGGCAGTTCAGCAACCTTGATTGTTGTTGCCATTCCGATTGTTGGAGTACCAATTGGGATTGTTGGAGTGCCAAACATAAATAAAACACATATAATCACATATAATCACATATAATCACATACATATATATATACACATATTTACTATATTTTTCTTTAATATTATGTAAAATAATATGATATAATACTATAAAAACAAAAACATATGATATAATTTCATAGAAAAGAACAGAATAGAATAGAATAGATACGATAGATAGATAGATAGATAAATATATAGATAGATCGATAGATAGATAGATAGATTGATTGATTGATTAGAGATAGATTAGATAGATGAGATAGATTAGATAGATTAGATAGATTAGATAGATGAGATAGATGAGATAGATTAGATAGATTAGATAGATTAGATGGATTATATGGATTATATGGATTAGATGGATTAGATGGATTAGA